CTGGAGCTGCCGGAGCTGGTGGTGTTGCGGGCTCGGGAGCTGGTGGCGCTGGCGCTGGAGGCGCTAGAGCTGGAGGCGCTGGAGCTGGAGGCGCTGGAGCTGGAGGCACTGGCGCTGGAGGTGCTGCTGGAGGCGCTGGAGCTGGAGGCGCTGGAGCTGGAGGCACTAGAGCTGGAGGCACTGGAGCTGGAGGCGCTGGAGCTGGAGGTACTGGAGCTGGAGGCGTTGGAGCCGAATGCACTGGAGCTGGAGGCACTGGAGCTGGAGGTGCTGGCGCTGGAGGCGCTGGAGCTGGAGGAACTGTGCAGCAGCGACCGTTATTCTTCAACGCCGCAGCTGTCCGAGCTACCGCCTGAGTCGGTGCTCTGTCAGGTTCTTAGTCTTCTTTCGTCCACTGTCCTTCCTCCGGGCTCACCGTTACCTGCCCCGTCTCGTTACACTGAGCAGCCGGTCTCCCTTACAGAGCGTCGTGAGCCTGCGTCTCGTCCTGCCTCTCCTGCTCGCACTGCTACTCGTGCTCGTCGTGTCCCGCGTCCGCGTCCTCCTCCTGTGCCAGGTACTCACACTATGGCACTTCGTCCCTCCTCTGCTCCGCAGCGCGTCCCACTGCCGTCTCCTCCTGCGTCCTCTCTTTCGCTTGTCCCAGACCCTGAGTCTGACGTTGTTCGTGCTTCTCACCCTACTGTCACGCGTCTTCTGGCTACAGTTGTCACTGACCCGTCGTTTGAGTCTGCTGCTGCGTCTGCCTTAGTTGCTGAGCTTGTGGACTTTGCTGCTGCGTGTCGTCTAGACTACGCTGCCAGTCTGAGACTTAGTCTGTCTGTCCTCCGTCCGTCGGGGGTGAGTGTGCTCTTAGCACGGACGTCCTTGAGGACAGGTCGGAGAACTTTGAGTCTCTTGCGGCTGCTGTACCTCATCTCGTGGCCTGGCTGCTTGCTCCTAAGGGAGACCCGGATGCACTGGACATCCCGACCCCGCGCTCTTACGCAGAGGCGATCTCGGGTCCTTACTCCTCTCAGTGGCAGACAGCCATGGATGCAGAGATGGCATCCTGGAAGTCCACAGGCACCTACGTCGACGAGGTTCCCCCTCCTGGGGCGAACATAGTCGATGGCATGTGGATTTTCAGGGTGAAGCGGCCGCCGGGTTCTCCGCCTGTCTTCAAGGCTCGTTACATTGCACGAGGCTTCAGTCAGCGATAGGGAGTTGACTTCTTTCAGACCTTCTCCCCTACCCCGAAAATGACCACTCTTCGGGTGCTGCTGCACGTTGCCGCTCAGCGTGACTACGAGCTTCACTCTCTTGACTTCAGCACAGCGTTCTTGCAGGGCAGCCTGCACGAGGAGATGTGGCTGCGCCGCCCACCTGGCTTCACTGGGTCGTTCCCTCCTGGTACCCAGTGGAGCCTCCGCCGGCCAGTCTACGATCTCCGCCAGGCGCCTCGTAAGTGGCACGACACACTGAGGACGACACTTGCGGCTCTTGGGTTTGCTCCCTCCACAGCTGACCCGTCGTTGTTCCTGCGCACCGACACTTCCTTGCCGCCGTTCTACATCCTCGTGTACGTCGACGACTTGGTTTTTGCCACTGCTAACACTGAGGCACTGGCCCTTGTGAAGTCGGAGTTGCAGAAGAGACACACGTGCACTGATCTGGGTGAGCTTCGTAGCTACCTTGGCTTGCACATCACCCGGGACAGAGCACGCCGCACCATTACCCTAACTCAGTCACACATGGTGCAGCAGGTCCTTCAGCGCTTCGGCTTCCAGTTCTCCTCACCACAGTCCACTCCTCTGTCTACCAGTCACTCGCTCTCAGCTCCACCTTCGGACGAGTCCGTAGAGTCGAGTGGCCCGTACCCAGAGCTTGTAGGCTACCTTCCTTCCCTTGTTGTGACTGACTGCCGTCCCCCGCTTCACCCATTCTCCGCGCTCCTGCATGCTTTTCACCCCCTTTCCTGGTTGCTTCTCTTGCTGCCCTTTTTCCGTTCCGCAGGCTCCCATTGAGCTTGTGATGGTCACGTGGCTGATAGCGAGGGAGATCGGATGGGTGCCCACCATCGCTGGCATCGCCACGCAACTGCTGCTGCTTCCACTTCAGGTGCGTTCTTTGACACTTGCCATGGCTGACCCAAGCTTGGCGTGGCTGATATTGAGGGATATCAATCGGATGGGTGCCCACAGTTGCTGGCATCGCCACGCAACGCAAATGCTGCCGCTTCCACTCCAGGTGCATGCTTCCACTCCAGGTGCATGCTTCCACTCCAGGTGCATGCTTCCACTCCAGGTGCATGCTTCCACTCCAGGTGCATGCTTCCACTCCAGGTGCATGCTTCCACTCCAGGTGCATGCTTCCACTCCAGGTGCATGCTTCCACTCCAGGTGCATGCTTCCACTCCAGGTGCATGCTTCCACTCCAGGTGCATGCTTCGCAACTTCGTTTTCGGCGGAAAGAGTGAGAGAGAGATAGCTTAGCCGAGAGCCTTATCAGCCCTCTGCCCTCTGCCCTCTGCACTCCCGCATGGGTGCTTAAGGCCCCGAAGCCCTTCCAAGAGCTCATACCTCGACTCATACTTGATTGCTTTCTCAAGATCGTTCCGGTTAATCCCTCCACTCCCATTGCGCGTTTCATCCCCCTCTGCACCCATCAAACAACCACACAACAACAGCTGCCGTGCGGGCGTTGCACTCTGCTCCCGCAAAGGTGTGGCTGCCCCATCACAACTCGTCAGCCTCACCCGCCATTACATGATTCACTCTCCCTCCATTCTCTCCCTCCATTCTCTCCCTCCATTCTCTCCCTCCATTCTCTCCCTCCATTCTCTCCCTCCATTCTCTCCCTCCATTCTCTCCCTCCATTCTCTCCCTCCATTCTCTCCCTCCATTCTCTCCCTCCATTCTCTCCCTCCATTCTCTCCCTCCATTCTCTCCCTCCATTCTCTCCCTCCATTCTCTCCCTCCATTTCTCCCTCCATTCTCTCCCTCCATTCTCTCCCTCCATTCTCTCCCTCCATTCTCTCCCTCCATTCTCTCCCTCCATTCTCTCCCTCCATTCTCTCCCTCCATTCTCTCCCTCCATTCTCTCCCTCCATTCTCTCCCTCCATTCTCTCCCTCCATTCTCTCCCTCCATTCTCTCCCTCCATTATCTCCCTCCATTCTCTCCCTCCATTCTCTCCCTCCATTCTCTCCCTCCATTCTCTCCCTCCATTCTCTCCCTCCATTCTCTCCCTCCATTCTCTCCCTCCATTCTCTCCCTCCATTCTCTCCCCTCCTCCCAAACAACCGAGCAACACCAGCTGGCGTGTGGCAAGTGGAGGGTGCGGCTGCGGGAGCAAACAGCGGAGGCCACTGATGCACGCGTTAACTGCACAGAGGAGGTGGGCGGCTGGGGAAAGAGGTGGGCGGTTGGGGAAAGAGGTGGGCGGTTGGGGAGGGAGAGGTGGGTGGTTAGGGAGGGAGAGGTGGGTGGTTAGGGAGGGAGAGGTGGGTGGTTAGGGAGGGAGAGGTAGGTGGTTAGGGAGGGAGAGTTCGGTGGGTACAATCTGTAGAATGTCTAAAAGATCTACTGATGTGCACGTTCAAGCACACATAAGAGGTAGGCGGTTGGGGAGGGGGGAGAAGGGAGAGGGGAAAGAGGAGGGTTGGGTGGGGGAGGGGATGAGAGGGGTTGGGTGGGGGAGGGGAAGAGAGGGGTTGGTTGTGGGAGGGAAAGAGCGGGGTGGGATGGGGGAGGGAAATTTTGAAGGAGGCAATGGTAGGGGTCAAGGGTTGGGGATTTGGAGCCCGTTGTGGAGGTGGGAAGCATGGGGGGGACGTTGAGCGAAGGGGAAAAACAGCTGCTAGATCGACTATTCTAGGGATTAGGAGAAAAGTAGGCGAGAGTGAGATGGGTGGAATGTGGGAGAGAGAAGACGAGAAGGGAACAGAAGAGGAAGGTGTTAACACACACAATGTGATGAGACACTTGTGGAATGTGTTGTGTCCTGGGACATGGTCTCGACCTTTGTGGAATGTGCTGTGTCCTTGGCGCTCTCTATCGCACTCTGGGACTTGAACCTGAGGCCTTTTGCTCTGATACCACTTATTGGCCCAGCCTGCAACCCTCCAGGCCACGCCTGTGGCTCTCTCATACTCAACTAAGGCACGATCCAACTGGCCCACTAGCATCACCTTTTGAGACGTCTCGAAAGCACCCAACTAGGGCACGATCCCAGTGCCCCACTGACATCACCCACGCACCCATCCTGTGGCAACTCGCTACACAACAGGCTCTTGGTGGCATTCTGACTGTAAAGATACTGGCTTTGGAGCGGGTGCTCACAGCAATCATCGAACGACTCAGGCGGACAGAAGTGTCGTTGTGAGTCAATCCCTCCAACTCCCGCCACCTTTTTCCTCCCTCTTCCCTTCTCGCCCCGCTTTTTTTTAACAAACAAACAGACAAAAAATATATATATATATATATATATATATATATAAAAACAAACATACAAACAAACAAACAACAAACACTCTATTGCGTCACTTTTTGTCTTGAGATGCCAGCAAATTACATGCAAGCAAAGTAAATGCAAGTGTCGTACATTTAACTTACAGAACAATGTCTACAGGAGTTTAACTACTGGCTTCAGCACAGTAGCGCAATCCCTAATGGATAAGGCCGCCTCGTTCCCTCTCGTTTTCTCTCTCCCTCTCTTCCCACACTGAACTCATCTGATCATTCCAGCTAGATGCACTCCATCCCTGAAAATCAACACTCTCTCCTTACTTCTACCACCCTGCACCCTCCATCCTCCCCTCCCTCTCCACCCTGCAGAGCCCAGCTGCCATCAAAGCCGTGAAGGACACTTTCTGAGGAGCCTAATGATTCATTCTTCCACCACCCTGCGCCCTCGTGCATTGAGGTCGTTTTTGAGGCGCCTCAAAAATCCACCCTGCAGAGCCCAGCTGCCATCAAGGCCGTGAAGGACGCTTTCTGAGGACGATTTCTGAGGAGCCCAATGATTCATTCTTCCACCACCCTGCGCCCTCCACCCTCCCCTTCCCGTCCGCCATGCAGCCTGCAGAGCACAGCCGCCATCAACGCCGTGACAGACGCACTCTATTTCTCATTCACCTCCGTGGTGGCCCTTGTCACCTTCGTCACCTTCACGCGCCTCGGCGGGCATCTCACCGCCTCCTCTGTGTTCTACGTGCTCACGCTCTTGGAGGTAAGTTTTGGGACGTCTCAAAACGAGGTGGCCCTTGTCACCTTCGCCACCTTCACGTGCCTTGGAGGGCATCTCACGGCGTCATCAGTGTTCTACGTGCTCACGCTTCTCGAGGTGCGTCTTTCCTTGCCCCCCAGTCGAGCAGGATTGACAGCCCTGCTAGCTAGCTACTCATGGAGCAGTTGATACGCGTGCTCTCACAGCACCCACTCATGGAGGTACGTGGGATGGGAGGGTATTGCATCGGATTGACAGGGATAGCCTGCGTGCTCTCACAGCACCCACTCATGGAGGTGCGTGGGATGGGAGGGTATTGCATCGGATTGACAGGGATAGCCTGCGTGCTCTCACAGCACCCACTCATGGAGGTGCGTGGGATGGGAGGGTATTGCATCGGATTGACAGGGATAGCCTGCGTGCTCTCACAGCACCCACTCATGGAGGTGCGTGGGATGGGAGGGTATTGCATCGGATTGACAGGGATAGCCTGCGTGCTCTCACAGCACCCACTCATGGAGGTGCGTGGGATGGGAGGGTATTGCATCGGATTGACAGAGATGGTCATCGTGTGCTTTTGCTTCTTTCTGGGCAAATCAAGACGGCAAGTTGAACTGCTGCACGACACTCTGATGCCCCTCCCTCCCTCCCCTTCCTCCCCTCCTTCGTATCCCCACAGATATTGGATATGCCCCTCCCTCCCTCCCCTTCCTCCCCTCCTTCGTATCCCCACAGATATTGGATATGCCATGGGGTGGAAGACTTTTGGGCCGACTCGAAAACCGCCCCTTCCCTTCCTCCTTTCCCTCCATTCCATATCCCCACAGATACCGCGCTACACCATGGGGTGGAAGGTGGCCCATGGCATACAGAACGTCGCCGAGGCGTCTGTCAGTTTCAAGCGGCTCTCGCGATTCCTTCAGGTCAGCTTTATGCTCTTTCATGCTCTTCCGTGTTGCCCACGCATTGGTGTGTTGTGCGGTTGTAGCCTTGCGCATGGGTGTTGCGGTACGATTAGTCACTGCGAGTGTGAGAGCATGCTGCCTCACTGGGACTCAGTGTGCCACCACGTGTGCCTCACTGGGACTCAGTGAGTGATTTTTGAGAATTCTCAAAAAGCCACCACGTGCCTCAGTGCGGTGGGTGGGAGGGTGGGTGGGCATGTGATGAGTCACACTGTCTGACCACTGGCCCGACCAGCCTGCTGACAGCCATGTCATCCCCTCACCGTGCCTCTCTGCGTGTACCTCCCCGTGCGTGCTACCTTCACTCCAACAGGCCGCCCCGCACGGAGCCACCCACAAAGAAGCCCCTTTCCAGAACGGCTATGCAGCACTGCTCCCAGAAGAGCGCCACTGTGCCCATGAGGCGCTTTTTGAGTCTACTCAAGGAGCGCCGTCGCATTCACAGAATGGTTCTGCATTGCTCTCAGAAGAGCCCCCCAACGCCATTGACACCCAAGCCACCACCGAGCCTCTCAAATCCACAGCTGCTACTCTCACAGCACCGAGTCTCCAGTCCCCACCATCCTCAGAGCTCGCTTCACTGCCCAGCCATCGCCTCTCCTCCCCCTCTGCTCCCACTCGCCTTCCTTCCACCCCCCGTGCTGCCTTGGTGCTTGAAGGGGCTTCGTTTTCTTGGGGAGAAACAGCGGGAGACGTTCAGTGCGAGGGGGAGATGGAGGACGACGAGGAAGAAGAAGGATTGAGCAGAGGGAGTGAAAGTGATGCGCTTCTAGTGGCATCGGCAGGGCATGTTATGGATTTCACTGACACCCGGTGCAGGGACGATTGGTGTAGGGGCTATGGCAGCATGGGCGATGGGTGCAGCAGCTATGGCACAGGTTATGGCACGGGCTACAGCTTCGCACACGTCCCCTCAGCTTTCCGCATGTGTTTCCCACAGCGGTTCTCGGGCCTTCACACTGCTGCTCCTTCCCCTGCTGCTGCTGCTGCTGCTGCTGCTGCTGCGAGCGCGCCTGTGAAAGCAAAGGAGGAGCAAGAGGGGCAGCGGGAGATGGGCTGCGGAGGCGAGGCACTGAGCGGATGGGTGGAGGGAGTGAGCGAGAGGCTGGGGGAGGCGGAGCTGCTGGGAGTGACTGGCAAGGTGAGAGGGAGAGGCCGTGGGAGTGACTGGCAAGGTGAGAGGGAGAGGCCGTGGGAGTGACTGGCAAGGTGAGAGGGAGAGGCCGTGGGAGTGACTGGGAAGGTGAGAGGGAGAGGCCGTGGGAGTGACTGGCAAGGTGAGCCCTTAACTCGTTGCTTGCAGCGTGCGCCCTGCCATGGCCCGCCTCATGCTGCATGCCTGTGTGCGTGTTTTGCGCCCCTGGCTGCCACAGCCTGCTGTGCTGCCTGCTGTTAGGCGCGAGGCTGTGCCAGGGTTGAGAGGTGTGCGTGCGTGTGTGTGTGTGTGTGTGCGTGTGTGTGTGTGCGTGTGTGTGCGTGCGTGTGTGTGTGTGTGTGTGTGCGTGTGTGTGTGTGCGTGTGTGTGTGTGCGTGTGTGTGTGTGCGTGTGTGTGTGTGTGCGTGTGTGTGTGTGTGTGTGTGTCATACCTGGGAGAGACTGCAAGGTGGCATGTGTCACGTGGTGCAACGCCCTGATGCGCTGTGTGCACTGAGTGCGTGGCGGACTTGACTGTAACGCGGTCTTCACGCCACGCGAACACCGCTTCTTTTGCTGCCAACCGTGTTGACTCACTGTGCCATTCTCTCTACCTCCCACCCACCCTTCCCACCGCGCAGACGGGCAGTGGCAAGTCGCTGCTGCTGCTGGGTATCCTCGGGGGAGTGCCTCTCACATCCGGCGCCATGCACCACTTTCTCCCCTTCGTGCTAATTTTCCCTCCCCACCTCCCACCCTAACCGTGCCACCTGACAGACGGGCAGTGGCAAGTCGCTGCTGCTGCTGGGTATCCTCGGGGAGTGCCTCTCTCATCCGGCGCCATGCACCGCTCCGTGCCCTCCCTCGCCTACGCATCCCAGCAGGTCTGCCACCCATTCACCGCTCACCCTTTGCCACCTTTGCCTGTGACATGACGTGTTTCACCCTTTCCCTCCACCTTCGCCTGTGAAGATTGTCAAAAAGATCAGCATCTCGGCCTAAACCTCCATTCCATCAGCCTTTTGAATCGGCTCAAAAGTCCCACCCCACACCCTCCCTGTCCACCCACTTCCTTCCACCCGTCCATCCATGCCACCAGCCTTTCCGCATCGTGATAAAAGTGATGTTTTGAGATACGTCATGTCACGTGATGTCATGTTCTTTTGAGACGTCTCAAAGCATCACTTTTCTCAAAGCATCACTTTTCTCAAAGCATCACTTTTCTCCCGTCCATGCCACCAGCCTTTCCTCATCGAGGGGACGGTGCGCGACAATATCCTCTTTGGCACACCGCTACACGAGACCTTGTATGCCAAGGTACGCTGTATTCCAAGGAGATTTTGCTCTGATTCTGTCTTTCCTTTGAACGTCTTCCGATACTCCTCCCTGTCATCCCAATTGTTCTATCTCCCCCGTTGCCCCCTCCCCCCCGTTGCCCTCTCCTCCCCGTTCCCCTCCCCTCCCCGCTCTCTTTTACTCCATTTCCCCTACTCAAGGTGTCCTCCCCTCGCCCCCCTCTCTGCTTTCCCCATCCACTCAAGGTGTTGGACACCTGTGCCCTCTCTTGGACTGTCGAGGTGCCTTAAACGTCGTCCTCCATTGCGCTCTCCTCCCCGCTCTCTCTTGCCCCTTTCCCCCCCATTCAAGGTGGTGGACGCCTGTGCCCTGCGCGCGGATCTGGCCCTGTGGCCGCGTGGCGATGCCTCATTGGTGGAGGAGGGCGGGGGTAACCTCAGCGGTGGGCAGAGGGCGCGCGTGTCGCTCGCCCGGGCGGCCTATGCTGCCCTGCACTGCTGCGCGGGCGCATCACAGTCAGTCACTGATGGCAATGGCGGTGGCAATGGCTGTAGCAGCAGCATTGACAATAGCAGAAGCAATAGAACCAACGCCACCAACAACACCAGCAGCAGCAGCAGCAGCAGCAGCAGCAGCGACAGCAGCAGCAAGAGAGCTCCCTCACCCGTGCTGGTCCTGCTAGATGACCCTCTAGCCGCTTTGGATCCAGCCGTTGCCTGCCACGTGTTTCAGCAGTGCGTGTGTGGGCTGCTGGCAGGGCTGCCCCGTATCGTCGTCACTCATCATGTGCAGTACCTTGGGAGGTACGGTAGTGGTGTGGGAGAAGGGGGTGGGAGAAAGGAGGAGAGAGGGAAGGAAGGAAACAGTTATTTTTGCACAGTAAGTAGGGATGTACCTCTTTTCTGCACGCCTGTTGAGTCCCTCTCTAATGGTCCTTTCATTGATATAGACGGAGTACACGCCCGTTAAGTCCCTCTCTCTCTATCCCAGCATCCTCTTGCTGTCATCCTCATCCTCCCTCTCTCTCCCTCTTCTCCCCTGTCTTTGTTCTACTCCCCTCCTCACCCTCCCATCCCCAGCTGCGACAGAGTGTTGGTGCTGGAAGGCGGCAGAGCAGTGGCGTGTGGCGCATGGAGTGACCTCTGCGCCCTGTCCTCTACTCAGCAACACTGTGACAGCCCCCCTCTTCCCTCTGCGCAACTTTTGAAGCCCCTCAAAGCGTTTGAGGCACCTCAAGATTCGTGGAGTGACGTCTGCGCCCTGTCCTCTGTGCAACAACACTGTGACAAACCCCCTCTGGGCCGGGTTGCTTCTGATGCTTCGTGCACTGCCACTGACAGTGCCGTCTGTGCCACCGACTCTGACTCTGATTGCTGCTGCTGTAGCACTGATTCGGATAAGGATGGTACCCTTACTGGCACACGGAGGTGCAGCTGCAAAAGCAGCACCATGGCAGCCTACAGGAGCAGCAGCAGCGGCCAGAGCAGCAGCGGCAGCAGCAGCAGCAGCAGCAGCAGCACTAGCAGTGTATGCTCTGTAGGTTGTGACAGTGACAGCGACACAGATGCGCCAGCAGACTGCAGAGATGACTGCCCCTTGATAGGTAGAGAGGCTGAGGCGGAGAAGGCAGAGGAGGAGAAGGGCGGAGGAGGAGAAGGCGGAGCTGAAAGACTGGGTGGAGGGAGGGCATGAGGCGAGTGGCACCACAGTGGGTGATGAGCAAGGTATGCAGGCAACGCACGGTATGCAGGCAACGCACGGTAGGCAGGCAACGCACGGTAGGCAGGCAACGCATGGTAGGCAGGCAACACACGGTAGGCAGGCAACGCACGGTAGGCCGTCAACGCATACACAATGCTTTTCGCTCTGAATCCCGCAAGGCTGCTGTTCCGTGTTGCCTTCCTAGCTGTCCCTGCAACAGTTTCCCCCCTGCATCACATCACAACCCTTTCTTCACCCCGCCACTCCCTCCCTGCCCTTTATCCCCAAGCCCCCAGCTTCCCGTCCCATGCAATCTCTGTGTGCTTCCATCCCCCTGTGTGTGCCTGCAGGCCTGCTGGACGTGGAAGGATGGCAGCAGGGCGCCATCCCGCTGTCCGTGTTTTGGGGCTACGCCAGGCAGATGGGAGTGCTGCCTCTGCTGCTCATCGCAGCTCTCTTCCTCGCTGCACACGCTTCAAACTCCCTAGTCAGTTGGTGAGAACGCTTTGGATTCGGTTCAAAATTTTATCTCTGCTTCTGACCCTCTGCTGCTGCTTATCGCAGCTCTCTTCCTCGCCGCACACATCTCAAACTGCCTCGCAAGCTGGTGAGAAAAGGCAAACTGTCACCGAATAGATTGTTAGTTGCAATATATTCAGTTACTCGCTAGTGTAGGTGTAGTTGGGGTATTCGAAACACTGTAGAAGGAGAGTTCGGTGCGTGGGCAGTAACGCAGAGGGGTGACCGAGGGACCTGCGAGGCGCAGGGTGGGACAAATTCAAGGGCGAGCCCTAGGCAATCCGAAGGGCCAATCCTGAAGCCTAGCGGGCGGAGCCCAATGTGACTTACGGGAACTGCACGGCGCGGGGTAGAGATTCAAATAGGCTAGGAACTCACTGCTTAGTTCGTTCTCTCGTTTGTTTGCTCGTAATAGTGGATATAGGTTGCCATTTGACAGCTAACTCCAGCTTAGGCGACTAAGCCACTGTGGGCAGCCATTCGTGGGGGAGGCAGAATCTCTCAGGTAGTGGCTGAGGCAAAGCAGGTAAGGTACCACAGGAACAGAGCTCAGAAGAAGAAGGGAGCGAGGGCGAGTCCAGGAAGGAGAAGGCAAGCCACGGGATGCAACAGAGGATGATTCTCCGACAAAACGCCCTCGCAAGCTGGTGAGGAAAAAGAACTCCTCCTCATTCCGTTTCGCCCACACGCACAGCCCCCGCCTCTGCCCTCCGTTAAAGGGAAATGCAGCCATGAGCAAAGAAACGCCGACACCAGGATTTGAACCGCTGACCTTCAATGAACCAAGACATCTTTTACGGTGCACACAGATTTGAACTAGAGTCCTTTTGATCATGTGCCCCTCCCCTCCCCCCAATCCAATCCAAGATTCCTGGGCCTGTGGACGGGCGAACCGCTGCTTTACCCCACCCACTCCTCTTCCTAACGAACAACCATCACCCTCTCCTGCGTGGCCCTCTCCCTCCTCGCCTCTCTGCTCTTCCACCGCGCTGCCCTGCGCGCCTCCTCCCGCACGCAGCCCCTCATGCTTTCGTCTGTGCTCGCCTCGCTGCTCGCCCTCTTCCATCGCAACCCACATCCCTCTCCTCTTAACCCCTCCCCTGCCCTTCCCTTCCCCTCCCCAAAGGTTCCTGGGCCTGTGGACAGAAGAGCCGGAGACCACACCGCACCCACTTGCCACCCTCACCGCCATCGCCCTCTCCTGTGTGGCCCTCTCCCTCCTCGCCTCTCTGCTCTTCCACCGCACTGCTCTGTACGCCTCCTCCCGCACGCACTCGCGCATGCTGTCGGCCGTGCTCGCCTCACCACTCGCCTTCTTCCACCGCAACCCCACGGGCCGCGTGCTGAACCGCTTCAGTGAGGACCTCGGGGTGACGGACGATGTGCTGCCAGAAATGCTGCTGGGCTTCATCAATGTGTGTGAGGGGAGGGGGCCGAGGAGGGATGGGGTGAAGGGGGGGCTTTTAAGACGCCTCAAATGCTGCTGGGCTTCGTCAATGTGAGGGGAGGGGGGCCCGGGAGGGAAGGGTAGGGATGGATTTTGAGGTGTCTCAAAGTCGTCTCAGTTCACACTTGTCTCAAAGTCGTCTCAGTTCACACTTGTCTCAAAGTCGTCTCAGTTCACACTTGTCTCAAAGTCGTCTCAGTTCATACTTGTCTCAAAGTCGTCTCAGCTCACACGGATTTTGAGGCTGGATTCATCAATGTGAGGGTAGGGGGGCCGGGGAGGGAAGGGTAGGGATGGGGTGAGGGGGGAAACGGTAGGGATGGGGTGAAGTGGGGAAGGGAAGATGGACGAACAAGGTTGGCGGTGGTTGGGTGATGCTTGAATCACTTTGAAGCAGGGGATGGTTGGGTGATGCTTGAATCACTTTGAAGCAGGGGATGGTTGGGTGATGCTTGAATCACTTTGAAGCAGGGGATGGTTGGGTGATGCTTGAATCACTTTGAAGCAGGGGATGGTTGGGTGATGCTTGAATCACTTTGAAGCAGGGGATGGTTGGGTGATGCTTGAATCACTTTGAAGCAGGGGATGGTTGGGTGATGCTTGAATCACTTTGAAGCAGGGGATGGTTGGGTGATGCTTGAATCACTTTGAAGCAGGGGATGGTTGGGTGGGATGGATGTGCACCCATACGTTCATTCGAGCACGAGTTGGGGGGGTCTATTGCAATCCGTTTTGAGAATTCTGAAAACTGATCCCAACACACCCATTCACCCACTCTCTCATCTCCATCCTCCATCATCCCACTCGATTGAAGAAGTATTTTGAGACGTCTCAAAACACCCATTCACCCACTCTCTCATCTCCATCCTCCATCATCCCACTCGATTGAAGAAGTATTTTGAGACGTCTCAAAACACCCATTCACCCACTCTCTCAACTCCATCCTCCATCATCCCACTCGATTGAAGAAGTGTTTTGAGACGTCTCAAAAGACCCATTCACCCACTCTCTCATCTCCATCCTCCATCCTCCATCATCCCTTTTGAGACGTCTCAAAAGTCACTCCCCTTATAACCATACCCTCCTTCCCCTCCTCCCTCTTGCATCATTCACTTCCCCACAGTTCGTAGGCCTGTGCGTTGACATTAGAGGTACCTGAGGATCCCTTTTCCTTTACCTCATCCCTCGTCCTTCCCCTCCTCCCTCTT